GTAGTAGAGAGTAGAGAGAGAGAGAGAGAGAGAGAGAGAGGGAAGGGAGAGAGTGTCTCGGGCGTATCGTTGGTCGGTATGCTTAGCGCAGCCCGAGGCGAAATTCTCTTTCTTTCGCTACGGCGAATAGTCGCTAAAAGTAAAAATCTAAGAAAATAAAATAGCCCCACGGGATCCCTCCTGGTGGAACTGTTTCGACGATTTTCTCGACGTATCCCCGGATGTCTGTCTTCCGCATCCGTCGTATACTCGTGTCGTGAAATTAAGCGAATTCGTGTGTGCGCGTCTCTACGTTACGCTAAAAAACGAAGGAAAGTTAGGATTTTGTCGAAATGGTGTTCGAAATAGGCAGAGGAAATTGTACCATCGAATTTCATTTTTGGTTCATCTCGACCGGTTCTCGAGATACGAGGATCCAAAGTGTTCATATATTTAAGACGGTGTGCAAGAGTTATGAATGGACTCGTGATTCGGATCTTTCCCTAGAAATGTTTGTCGAGTTTGCGAGAGATTCGAATAAGATGAAATAATGAACGATCGAAAAATTACGCTTTTCTTTGCACGACGATATCTTGGCAATCGGAAAGTTTCAAAGAGAGAGATTTAACGCGGTTCTAACGATCTCTGATTCGGTTGACAGTTGAAAGTCATTGTTTTCGAAGTTTTTTCTTAATTTCAATAGAATTTAGTCGAGTTTTTAAGATATTTTTCTCACTGCTCAAATAAAAAGTTTTCGTTTCAGTTGTGAAATTAGACGCCCTCTTCCATTATTCTTCGACACTTGGTGGTATTAGCGATTCGGTCGTTTCTTTCGTATTGAAAGAGACAATAGTTCAGTCATCCGGAATAGAATCGGTCTGAATATTTCATTTTAGTGCAAGAAAGTCTTCCCATAGGATCACGCGCACGTCTGTGACGTCTTTTAAGACACTTTGAACGTTTCGTCCGTGAAGCTCCTTTTATCTCGACTTCTCGTTCGTGAGTGATTCGTTTCTATTACCTTCCAAGACGGTGGCATGAAAGGGGCTATTTAATAGTAACGGAATGTCTGATAATGAACCGTTTGTACTTCGTACGTTGAAAGAATTACTTATCTAAGTACATATGCGCCATGTTTCCAAAAGGATGATCGAAAACGCGAGACTGTTAACATCGATAGACGATAAAACATTAAAATTTTATTTCCCTCCATTTTATTCATATTCCCTTATTCTTTCGCGTTGAATTTTAAACTTTGAGAAGCAACTTTTGAACTTTCGGGATGAAAGCGTGCTATTGTATCACTGGGAGGAGAATGCAGCTCGTTCCAACGGTAAGTGGAGAAAGGTAAAGGAAGGAACGTTTACTGAAAACAGAATACTTGACCTTTCTCAAGAAAATTTTTCAAACGAAAGGAGAACGATGCGCGTAATTCTCGTACAACCGTCCGTCCGTACGCACAACGAGAAACGAGATGCATTATTTCTAAACGTAATCGCGTGACGCGACGCGCATTATGCGTCAATTTGCATATGACTGTTATGCGCAACGCGTGATTTAGATAGCCATTAATGTGATCGTTTCGCGTTACTGAATCTCTATTAGAAGGCTATAAACCTGATGGAAGCTGTAAATGTCACTTGCCAGATGACATTGCAATTACCCGCATAATTGAGAAATATTAGGAATTTAAGGATGTGACAACTTTAAATTGACACGTATACAATTTCTCATTAAGTTGGTATCGAATTAGCGATACACTGTTCATTTGCATAATTAATTTATTGCCGGATAACCCGTCACAAGTGACACCCGCCGACGATAATACATCGCCGTATTCTAGTCACGAATATCCAACTATAACTTTTCGCTCTTCCCATTTTCTATTTACTCCATGATAGTTCAAATAGAAAAATCCCCGTTGTTAAATTATAAATACGAATTTCTATTGTCAAGATACATATTTCTCTTTGCCGTACATTGCGATTCTTTCATATAAGAAAAAAAAAAAAATAGAAACAATTAACTTCGCAATAAATCGTCTTCTACGCATATCAAAATACCACCGTGCGAATATCTTTCAAACGTGGATCCCTTTTAATAAGATTCCTTCCCCCACAACTCGTAAGAAAACGTAAGAATCCGAACTCGAGCAAAGTCTATCGCCCCATTTCCGCCCTATTTAGCCACCCCTTTCCCCTTCGGCCGAGGCAAACGGTGTACAATTCCCGCGGAAGATTTCGCGGGGAATTCATAGACGTCGGCCGGAATATTGTTCCGCTTGATCGATCGACAGTTCAACGGGGTTAATCGGAAAATCTCCGTAGAAAATCCAGCTCCTAGGGGGGGGACGAGAAGGACGGCTACGACGATGACTACGACGCCTAGGTATACACGCCTAAGCGTAACAACGAGAGACGAGGGAGAGACGGGGAGAGACGAGGGAGAGACGGGGAGAGACGAGGGAGAGACGGGGAGAGACGAGGGAGAGACAGGGAGAGACGAGGGAGAGATGGTCGAGCGGGAGAGGAGGAGCGCGAGAAATGGGAAGGGGGGAGGGGTCTAGAGAAGGAATTCCATAAAAATCGGTGAAATATGCATAGTACCGCGGAATGTGGAGGAGCGTCGCGACGTCGTCGAGTGTCCCGGGGGAAACGGGAATCCCGGCACGAGGAGGAGAACGAATTGGAAGAAAAGGTGGGAAAGGAGAGGAGAGAGATGTGTGTGTGTGTGTGTATGGAATGGAAGGAGAATGGCAGCAGGTGAAGGAAGAAGATGAAGGAGAGGATTTGTGGAGGGAGGTGGCGCGCGACAGATAAAGGAAAGAAGGTCGGAGAGCGAACATTTGGAACGTGTTCTCGAACGAAATCTAATTTCGGTCCCACGGCGAAACTAAGCTATTTTCTCCGCAATATGCACGCGCGCCCATGTTTTTCACCCTTCGCACCTTCCTTCCTTTCTTCCTTCCTTCCTTCCTTCCTTCCTTCCTTCCTTCCACCCTCGTTGCCCCCCGCCCCCCCTCCTCCTTTTATCGCGATTCGCGAAAGTTGAAATTTTCCCGCGTTTCCTTCTCTCACGATGAGGCGAAAAAGTCGATAAAGTTTCTGTCGTTTGCCAAACTGCCGTCACTTGGCCAACTTGGAACGGCGCGTACAAGAACGGCGAAGATTTTAGATACGAATTATATATATATATTCACGGTGCTCGCGAAGGAGTAGTAGCGCACAATCGAGAAACGGTAAGAAAAGTAAGAAACGTCCTCGTTGCAATGCTCGTGGAGCGGCGGGCTTGTGCGCCCAACCTGTTGTACAAGGGTACTCTCGCTCCGACTCTTGGACAAATGTACGAGACAAACGCGTTGGCGAGTAGTTGGCAATCGAGTTATCGATCACCGATGTTTATGGGTCGAATCGATGGATTCGAGAGGAACACAACGCACAAGGATTGGAAAGGTTGGAAAAATGGGGGATTGCGATCTTTGAAACTTTCACTCGCGTCTTTCAGACATTCGATACCAATTTCAGACACCCGATATCGCGTGTAAATTCGAGCCTGCTGATTAAACATGTGTATGGATTATCCGTTTTCACTTTCTTCGACTGCGAGTAAATTGAGATATAACGTGTGCAGTTTTGTACACGAGAGTTAGAAGAGTTAGAGATATTTCTATCTGCAAAACTTATTATAATAATTCGTAATGTATTCCAGACGATCCTTGCCTCGTCGCTCTAACTTTTCACGTCTAATGACCATTGGGAAAAGTTGGGAGAATCTTCTCGAACAAAATATATCTCTCGAGGCTCATAGTTGAAGCTGAAGTATGGAAATGTTTTATAATTTCTGCATTTCTCTTTCAGAAGCAAACGAATGCAAACGACGTTGAAAGAACACGGTATTTTAAAGCTCCACCTCGTAGATTACTTTAATCACTCTACCTTTTCATACAAATTTTTATCTTTTCCTAATCTCCGCCTGCAAAAACTTGGGATTAAGAGAATATTTAGAGTTGTTTATCATTCAAGACGGGATACGTCGTTTTTTAAAAACCGTTTTTTTTAAAAGAAGAAATCTTAGAAGTCGTTGGTAAAAAATTTCGATCGCACATCGTTTAATCCATCGTTTCATCCACAATTTCAACGAGACGTTGAAATTTCACGATTCATCTGTTCCCACCACGCGGAAACAAAAGTTGCGACGTCACGGTGTCTTTCCACGGTTATTCCGTGTTACGAAAAAGATCCTATTGTTTGTTACGCCGTCCTCTTTTTCTCTCCCCCTCCATTTCGGGGGAGAAGAGCAGAGAAAACACTGACAAAAGATTCCTCGAGGCGTTGGTACGGCAGAGTTTCGAGAGGACCATCATCGAGAATCGCCGGCGAAACGACGATGAACCTCGCAAGCGCACCGAAATGGGCGAGTCTAGTGTCTTCGTGTGCGGCCAGGACCTGGTGACAAGGGTGCACGAGAATTTCCGCTTCCGCTCTCATAATTAAGCCACCGTTGGTTTTTGATGGCCACTAAAAATGTCGCGGAGAGATTCTCCCAGAGATGTTCGAGTTCCCTTCCCCTCCAGTGGGGGAATGGAAGAGAAGGGTAGCGATTCCCTAGCGATGGAATTAAGCGTAGCATCGAAACTGCAAATCATCCAAAAGTTTGAAATTTTATTATCGATCATAATCCTGACGAAACAACTTGTCCGATTACTTTAACTCGAAAGAACTCGAATACGAATACAGAGTACCTCAATTTTACACAATAACAAGAAGAAGGAAGAAAAAAGTCAACAAAACCACGATGATATCTTATTTTTCCACTCGACGATCCGAATGTTGGAAAGAATAATTCGATATTTGCACGAATTGTACGAGACGAAGAGAAAATTGGATTTGATCGATTTTATTCGACGCTCGCATCGAACTCGATCCCATCGCTAGATCCTATCGACTCGAGCAAGAGAGAGGGGGCGAGAGGAGCGACCCTTACGTTTCTGATATTAGCAATAGCTAAAGTCTCGTAAAGTCGGTTGCGCGGCAATTCGAGTCACTTTGCGACACCCTTTATACACTCTCCCTCTCGGCCTTCCCTTCGTCGCGGAGGATGCAAGGGGGGAGGTCTCGGCGAGGCGGTGATTTTAATGCGGGCGGGTTCTTAAATTTTCACGTCACAGTTTCGGCGATCCGAGCCGCTGCAAAGGACCAGCATCGCAGCCGTGGACGAAGCGGCGCAGGAACCAAGGATTAAACTGTATAGCGAGGCTAAAGCTGCGCCAAGGTTTCCACCGGTGTGTTAATTCGGTTATGCGGGTTATACGGCGTCGAGGGTGGCAGGGACCCTCCGCTGTAACGGTTTCGAGCGTTTCAGTTAGCTCTTCTGAAAACTTGTCCCATACCGTCCTTCTCGACCGAGATACCGGTTAAGGGAGACGTGATAATACGACGAGGGTCCGAGCCGAGTAAGCTCGGGCGTAAGTTCAGAATGATTTAGTTTTACGAGGTGGGAAGAGGATCGGTAGCCGTAGCTTTCTCCTCTTCTATGCTTAAAATTCTTTCGGAATTTTTCTAATCCTTTTGCAAAAACTGGTATTTCTCTTTTTTTTTTAGAAATACAAACACTGTACAAACACGTTTTCTCATTTTATATACGCGGTTATTCGGTATTTCGATACAAGTCGCGCTGGACAAATTTATTATCCGCGGGCGATAAACTATCCACCGTATCCAATAACGTTTAATTCCTTTCGCCGCGGTAATTGAAGAAATGACGGAAGAGGAGGCGAGAGAGTCGGATCGAAGGTCGCGAGGATAGGATCTTTTTTTTTTCTTCTTCTTTTTTTTTTTTTTTACGGCGCCGCGCCACTCTGATTTAATAAGTTCATTACCTAATGAACAGGTGTACGGGGCAACCTGTTCCCTCTCCCCGAGAGTAGCGAGAGCTTGCTCGCATCGGTCACCCCTTCGATAATCAATACTTTTAATTACCGCATTTTTATGAATTCGGTTGTAGTTTAGTCTTTAATTGGATACGAAATCGGCGATACCTACGATATCCATATCCCCAATACCAATTTTCACGATTTTCTAATTAATATACGGGGAACTCTAAATTTATCGCTCGATTATTCGCTGCTCTCGCGAATAACGCCGTTTATTAACGCCGTTCTTTGCTCTTCCCGCCCCTTGTTCCCACACTTTTCAAACGGTCGATTAGTCCGGGGCGATAATTCTTTTGAAATTTTAATCGAAAAAAAATCTTCAAAAGTTCGAAAACTCGATTTTCCTGGAATGATTTATTCGTGGAAAATATCGCGCTCGAACTCGTCGAATTGCGTGCTCGGAACGAAATACGGGTGCGAACCGTGTTTTAAGCCTTTAATCTTTGGAGACAAAGAAGACGATGGAAGAACGTTGGCTTTAAGCCTTCTTCTTTTTTCCCCTCTCCATCCCTCCCTCGCCATGATTCTCGTGAATTAGTGGAAAGAGATAACAAAGAAAGAATTAAGAATTCGTACACGCACACAGCCGACCACGGCTTAATATATGCACCGCGGCAACTTTCTTCGAATCGTCGAGTTCGGCTCGCTAATGGTCGCTCGAAACTCCCTGAAAATTCCTTACTTACCCTTACGACTCAGCCGGTCGGTCATCCAGACGGATAACGACGAAAGAGGATCCCTTTAATTTATATCCAGATGTTTTTCACCCCGATCTTTCGTCATCCCCTCGTCACGTTTCACGATCGATACGATTCGAATCCACACGATCGAAACCTAATTGGATCGTGATTATTAAGAATTATTTAAACCGATCAAAGTGATACGTTCAATTCGTGGAGAATATCCATAAATGCGCATAATGGCTGATCGCACGTACACTCGTACCACTGATTTAGTCAGCTGATAGTCGGAAGGAAATTTCGCCTCTAATTCTTTGCCCGAGGAACAGTTCTCTACTTTCTCCTCGTCGGTCCAATCTCGAAGCTGGCTTGGCCATTTCCTTCTCGTTTCCCCCTTCCATCGTCCCTCCCCTTCTCATCCGCGGTTTCGTCCATCCCTCTATCTCTCTCTCTCTCTCCGGCAAGCGTTAATTAACCCACCACGCGAGCCGGCATCAAATAAATTTCGGTTAGAACGTGAGAAGCAACAAATCTGAGTCAGGTGGTGTCAACTACGGCGAATGCGAGCCACCTCTTACTTGGGTTACTTCGGCGGCCAGGCTTTTGCCAGGCTGCCCACGGATATCCGTGCACGCGGATAAATATATATATAAATATATATAAATGTAAACATACGAATGATTTCGTGGTGGAAATGGCGATAACATCGATATAGAAATGTTGGGTAATAAAGGGAGTTCGTTCGAGTTGGAGTGGAAAGAGTCGGATTGAGTAATTTGATCGAAAGTATACAAAGAATAAAATTTAAATTGAACGTATTCGCGGGTTCGGGTTTCGAAGCGGATTTCACATACGATGAAATATGTATTTGATTTTAAAACTTGTACTATTTGTCTTCCTCGCTATTTATCTTGTCCGCAACTTGTGACGGCCGGGCTATAAAGAGTAAAATTCGCCTTCGCGTGGAAGAGCAAGGAAAATGTAATGGTAAGTAGAGTCAGGAGCTGTCTGAATTATTGCTTAAACCAACTTAAACGTTTCTTTCCTCGTGCACGTATATACACGTATCTTATCGTCCATCATAGTCCGAGCGTTTCCCAACGATCCACCATTCGTTCCTTCAACCCTCTCATATTCGAGGACGAAACAGTAACTGGTGAGTTATTTTCCTCTGACGGATCAATTGAGCTCGATCGAAAATTATCGATCTCGAACAATTCCAAAAGATATTTATTCTCGAGAGTGACTATCAATGATTCTTGCAAGAGATGTCTATTCTCTAACTACTGAATTTTATACAGCGTATACAGTCGAAAATTATTCTCGAACAAAAAATATTCATTCTCGAGAGTGTCTATCCAAGATTTTGCCCTCGAATGGATTATTGCAAAAGATATCTATTCCCGAGACAGCGCTGGATCGAAAATTACTCTCGAACTGGATTAATTCCCAAAAGATATCTACTCTCGAGAGGATAATTATCAAAGATTTCGAATAGACTCTTGCAAGAGATTTATTCTCGAGATTACCTCGTTGAATCGAAAATTTCCAAAACATATCTCGAGAGTGACTATGAAAAATTTTTCCCTCGAATGGATTCGTCACTCGTACGTATCACGCGCGATTAATCATTTTCTAACGAGGAGAAAGTTCGTGGTCTTGGATCGTGAAAGATTTCTCTAAGAAGGATATATATATATATAGCGGGCTGCTAAAGAAGGCTGATGGAAAATGACGTTATCTTTTGGCGTAAGTCGGCCGAGTCACGAGGGAGGCGATTCGTAATTGCTTTAGTTAAGGAATGTGCGTCGCGCTTCGGGCTTGGACGCGGGATAAAAGCCGGAAAGACGGTCGTCGGGGAGAAAGAATGGAAGGGTGGAGGAAAGGAGGGAGAGAGAGGTGAAAAGTGGAGAAAGATGGAGGCAGAGAGAGAGAGAGAGGAGAGAAGGTGAAAGCGCGGACGAAAAGCGGACGGCGGAGGGAGGGGAGGGAGAGCCAGGGGTAAGTTGAGCGGCATGGGGTGGCTATGAATTTAAATTTCTCTAATTAGGACGCGCGGGAGATGCGGTGACGGTGTTGGTAGCTACGACCCCCTTCAGACCCCTTTTCTTCCATCCCTGTTTCTACCCCCCTCTTTCGCCAACTCCCTCTCGTATAATACTTTCTTTCTACCCTGTCTCCTTCTCCCTTTACGCTCTTCGTCCCCTTTTCTATACGTATAGAAATATATACGTATATATATATATATATACGCGTGTACGAAGGAAAAGGTTAGAAGAAGAATTTCGGAACGCATTAAAATTATGAAGGAAATTATGGGAGGAAAAGTCGAATATTTGCTTTAATTTGCGCATAAAATTTCTATGGTTCGGATCATAGCTTCGTTGAGAAAAATTTCAATCGATCGCAACATCTCTCTGCGAACAACAATTTTTGAGACAGAGTCAATTATATTTGACAAAGTTTGGGATGGATACTTTACCTAAATACGTTACCTAAATTCGTATTATTTCTTATTAACTGAAAAGAATCTTGAGAAAGAAAAAAATATATATACTTTATAGAAGAAATTGTTACACGGATTCACAATTTTTCAATCCAAGGGGGCGGTGATTTAAATCGCTGCGGAAGGAGCGATACAAGAGAAGGGACAGAGAGTAACGCGTTAACCTTGCTTTATGCAGTCGTACAAGGGCTTAAGTTGTCGAATTCCCTGTATCCTCGGTCAATCTAGCAGGGATGAATTAACGACGAGAGGTGGGAATAGGGCGAATGAACTGGGTAGTTCGGGGAGGAAATTCGTAGGGTAAGCCCCAGGGTGATCTCTAGAGTGGTCACTAATACTCCCTAAGAACGCCTAGTGGAAGCTGTGGAACGTTGTTCCCCATCAGTCCGTATCTGCCTACCAACACTGAACGCATTCCTTCTTGATTAGGATCCCTTCCAAGGGCCGATTTGCCAGCATTTAGAGATCCCCCTCCCGATTCTATTGGCCGGGGAGGGGGGGGGGGAGGGAGGGACGGTGCGTGCTATCGATCGACCGCCATCTTAAAATTTTCCATTCAAATAATCGATTATATATTTTCACAAATTATCGAACGGATTTCGAAATTGTTTTTAAACTCGAATATCTCGCAATTTTATCCCTCAGTGAAATTCCCCGATTTAATATTCTTCGCTTCTCGACGTATCGCGAAAACTTCTGTCTCTGTCCAGGGACATATTTCTACCCGAGGGTAGCTTTTTGCGAGGGCACCGACTAAAAGCTAGTATAAATCATAGGGCGAACTGGACAGTCGTTTACAAAGGAGACCTTCGAAGTCTCGGAATTGCCTTGGGCCAAATAAACCTTGGGCAAAAAAAGCTTTCGCTGAATTAGCTGAAATCTGATAAACAAGCGCGTGACATCGTTTATCTTATTACGTTCCAACACCCGTCTAAAATTACCGTTTAAAACATCCAATTTTCACTTCTTTTTTTTTCCCTCAATTGTTCGATATTCGATTCACATCTGATTTGGAGGATTGGCGGATTACACCTCGTTTCACGCGTCGTCCAAAGGAAAGACGTTAAGCGGCAAGTGCAGGCGAGTCGATGAAACGTTTCGCAAATGTTGGGCGACGCGTTGCAATAACAACAATAGGAATATTTCCGTCTAATTCGCTCGATCATCGCGCAGCCCGTTATCGAAAGTTTTCCCCTCGAGGGATCCGAGCCGATCGAGCCATCACTTCTCGACTCGAACGAGGATGCGCGTGGCGGCTTTATCCTTTTTTCGGCCGACCGGTTTATGCAAATCTGCGCAGCTTTAACCGTAGCCACGCGATATTATTCTTCGCTCATAAAGGTAACACTGGACACGGCCTGTATGCACGCGGCATACATACTCGAACGGCGATTCGAAGCACGTTGTACTCACGGCGAACCTGCGACTAGGTAGGGGTGCAGCCGGTCTAGGGTGCTCAGAGGCGAAGTTTCGAGGGAGCTAGGCGCCAGCATCGTTGCCTCTGGTTAATTTGCATCCCTTAATGAGTCGCTCACGTAACGCCCTTATCTTTACACCCCCTCCTTCCTTTACACCTCCTTCCTTTACTCCCTCCTTTCCTTCCAGGGAGGAACGAAACGAGTCTTCTTCCCTTCTTCCACTGTTTTCTTGTCATTCGGCCTTGTTATTTCTAAGTTGCGCCCCTACCTTCCTTCTTTTCTCCGCCGTGTTCGAGCGGAGCTCGAGTTGGTCGTTGTTCTCTCTCTCTCTCTCTCTCTCTCTTACCCTCGACGAAGAATCGAAGGGTCGAACAGTCAGTTTCGCAACGTTCAACAACGTTGTTGCTTCGGCCACGGGCAATAGGCATCAGGTATTCATTTGGAAACGGACCAGAAGAGGGTGGCTTCTCCCACCCGCTTTTTCTTACCCATCTACTCGACCCGGTTCATTGAATTATTTTCGTCCGGACGAGAACGATCGTTTTCTCGCCGAATCGAGACGATTCCCCTCTCTCTCTCTCTCTCTTTCAATATCGTTATTTCGAACGTATCCAACGATTTTTCGTTCGTTCTTATCTTCTCCTTGAACTTGAAGAAGTTTCTCAGCCGAGTTTCGAATATAATCTCGAGGTGGAATTGTTTATCGGTTGATTTCATTCTTTTTTATTCCGCGGTCGACGTAACGCGGATAAAATATTTTCCCCCCTTATCGATACAGATTGACGCTTATAACGCGCGAAAATCGTTTATCCACCAAGACGAGATTCCAATTCGACGAGATAGTGACGCGAGGAAAAGGGGAAGGAGAGAGGCGCGGGTGGGGGGAAGAAAATTGTTCTTGCCGCGTGGCGAGGCGCGCGATAAAAAGGGAGATCGTTCCCTCTCCCTTCCCCTACGCGACACGTTCGGGGCGATAAAAATCAAAAGCAGTTTGTCACTCAACGCGTTACACGCGAAATGTCTCGAGATACCCGTGCTCCCAAAAATCCACGTTTCGCCTTTGACACGCGTATCCATCCACCAAGAATTTTACTTTCGTCCTCCTTAATATAAAACATACAGAACATATCCACCCCCTTTCTTCGATATTTCTTCGATCAAACCTTGATCACAGAAAGAAAGAAAGAAATAGGCGATAATAGATCCATTGAATTTGTTCAGCTCTCTGGTTAAAATAATAATTAT